CTACAGGGAGTTGGCGGCCCCTTGTTCACTCCGGTACGAGGAGGAGGTGCTGTGAGTAGTGCAGGAGGAGGGGTAACATCTGCAGGAAACTCTCTCACACAGCAAACAGTGCAGGTTGCTCTCCCAGCAGGACAGGTATTATATAGGGTTCTTTTTTTTTCTTTTTCTTCTTTTTTGTCTTTTCTGTTTTCTTCCTGCTAAATTTTGTCTTATTTTTATTATTTTTAAATTTACTTTTTATCTTTTTCTTTTTAATTTGTTTTTCTCTGTTTTTTCTCCTCTTCATAATTTTTCACCTCTTTATTGTTATATTATTCTTGTTTAATTTTTTCATATTTCCTTTTAATGATTAAAGAAATGTTTTGTGCTATCTTTCTTGTGTTTGCCTTCTCTCTCTCTTTTTCTTTTATTTCTTTGTCCCATTTACCCTCCTCTTGTACTTGCTTTTTTTCTTCTGATTTTTGTCCTCATTTCTTCTGCTTTATCTTCATCTTTTTATATATTTTTTAAATATTTTTCTGCTTTTCCTTCCTCTTAGCTTTGTATTTTGCTTCAACAAAAACCTTTCTAATGTGTTTACCAAGTACCTTCACTGAAGTCAGTAGGAAATATGTCAGTAGCCTGAAGAAAATATCAATAATAATAAAAAAAGAAAATTGAATAGATTTTTACTTTTAATGTGATAATTATAAAGTGACACATGTTCTTTCCAGGGGACTGGGACTGTGGTGTCAGGTGGTGACACCAACCTAGGTGTAGCGCATACAACAACTGTATGTGCTACTCAGGCTTCTGTTGTTAGTTTAACTGCAAAACAGCAGGCAAGTATACTAATATTTTTTTATTCATTTATGTATTTTTTTTTTTTATGTATTGTTTTATTTTATGTTTATTATTATTATTATTATTATTATTTATTTTATTTTTTTTATTATCATTTTTTTTATCCTCCCTGTAACATGGATGTATTGAAAGCTGATATGTACATATATCTCGAAATGGCTTTTTTTCCAATCTTAGAGTAAATCATCACTTTGAAACATTATTTCTAAAAACCAGAAACCCTTGTACATATAGTTAGATATTGCTTTTATTTACAATCTTACAGTGGTAACTTTCTTAGCTTAATAAAAAAGATTTTCTGATAAAGTTGTTTTTTCTGCAGCTCCAACTGGCATTGCAGAAATCAGGCCCTCTTAGTCTTCCACAGCTACAGTTGCAACAAAAGTTAGCAGCATTGGCCAAACGTCAACAGCATCAGTTACAAAACCATCAGCAGCAACAGCAACAACAACAGCAGCAGCAGCAACAACAACAAACAAACAACAGCAACAACAACAACACAACAAGCAACAGCAACAGCTGCATAAAATAAAAATTAGTCATATTTTGAAAGTAATAAGAATTTATAAAAGACATTGCATTATTAAAAGTTACGTACAAAGTGGACAGTGCAATATGTTACCTTTTCAAAAGAATGCCATCTTCCAGTAAATACAAATACATATGCATTTTCACATTAGTATATTGTTCCTAATTCTTTGAAAGATTTCTTTTTTCTTCTCCATCACTTCTTGCCTCACTCTGCCACATTTTATCTATCTCTGCCCTTATATATAGTTTCACTACCTTTCTCTGTATCCACTTCACACAGTATCTCCTTACTTCTCAAACTTTTTGTGCATTATAAAAATTGTTGCACTAAATTGTAAAAAGTATACAAACATTGTTGAATAAAGTTGAAATCTGTGGCCCATTTTTGTATTTTTCATGTTGATTTTGTAAAAGATAGGTTTTGAAGTGAATAACAGTGTGTTACTGATGTTATATGTCTGAAATATTACATTCATAAGATAGTCATCTAACATACATTTTGAATTGAACAGTATTCATTTTGATAAATGTCAAAAAGGGATGAATAACAATATCTTGACAGTGCAAGAGATTATATGTATTTCGTATGAAGATGTGATCAACATGTTTCAGATTCATCTCTTGAACTTTGAGATAATCATTCTCAATTCATACCTTTTGCTGCTCTTAGAAGTGTTTATTCAGCTTTGAATCTTCAAAGATTTTGTTTTATACGAGTTAAAAGTAAACAAAAGTAATTTTTAAACTCATTGAATGCAAATAAGCCTTCCAGTCAAAAATTCCAAGGATTTATTACAGTATTCTTTTGTTTTAAGCCCTATTTTAATCTACCCTCTCTTCAACAAGTATTTATGCTGCTGGTGAAAGATCACATATTTTAATTTCTTGGTTATATATGTTTTTTTCCCCTAAATCTGAAATTAATATGTTTGATTATTATTATCTGTTATTTGCTGACCAGTTGTATACTCATTTACAAATCAGTCTTTTGTTTACAACTAAAACATATTTAAATCTTATGTTAAAATACAGATATATTAATTTTTTTCTATTTCTCTTATAATTTGCATTTTGTAAAGGCAGCTGACAGTAGGTCCAAGAAGATTTTTTTTTATATTACAAATGT